ACCGGAAAATTCGACCCCGAGGTATGTGAGCTTCTCGACCTGCTACGCTGTTTCTTAGTTTATGAGCAGAGCACGGCGGGAAGAGGACCGAAAAAGCACCAGACTCGTGGTTTAGGCAGGTTCACATGAATGTCGGTAATGTCGCAATCGGCAGTTTGTTTTGATTAATGAAATTAATTTTGAAAAAGCCATGAAGTCACATGGCTGTCATTAAAAGACCGAGAGATAACCTATAATTTAAAAAAAGTTATATTTTACAAAAGTAAGAGGAAAATTTTCTGTTATCTGCAAATGCAGGAAACAAAAAAAACTTTAAAAAACTTCCCAAAGTTACGGTAAACGCAACTACGTCATAGTACTGTCTCAAGTATCAGAATATGAAAAAAAATCTACCATTTTCAGGACGATGTAATATAAACTCGCCAAGACAAGCGAAAGCATCTAAGATCTTCACGTATGCTTTTCTGAACTCGACACATTCCTCGTTGTCTAAAAAAGAAGCAAATACGGTCACTAAGTCAGAAGACCTTTTAAGCAACTCCTTATAGACTCACTCAACGAAGCGACGATTCCTGACTCGAACAGCAGAAATTCATCGCTGATCTTCGAGCTGTCCAAAATCAGACTGTAAGGAGTTCTGGTAGGGATGGAGGTTGCAGCCGCGACGTTCCTCTCGTACACACGGAACGTGCGACTGATGGACATGAGCGGAAAAAACCTGAAATTAGCGAAACATGGTTAAAATCAACACCGAAACTTCAATGATTAGACATTAACGAAGAAGATTAATTTCAAAATCATAAGAGAAAAACACATGAAGATATTCAAATTAAGGCAGCTGTCTGCAATCTACCGGTGCTCCTGAATTACGATCATGATTGTGCTACGGAACTCTGAATGACAAAACCGACTAATGGTGAATCACTGGATTCACCGCAGTCTGAACTGAACTGGCAGATATCCAACCAGAATCATATCTATGACGTTTGCATTTATCTCATCGATACAAATAAGGCAAAGGCACAACTTTCAGTGAATCGCTGGAGTAGAATAATTTTGAATCTCGATGAATTGTCGAAAACTGGCAGTACTCAATCCGCACACAATGCACATACGTTGAGACTTCTGTCCCTCAGCCAGCTTCCACGACATTGGAAAGACATGCAGTCAAATCATCTGTTCGTTGGCCTGACAGAGTGCTGTACATGGTCATTAAATTATTCAACTCATTATCAAAACAACGACGTAAATACGTGCAATTCGATCTTTCCATCATAAGAGATGATCAGCAGGATCTTGCTACAAGAGCAATGAAAGCAAAAAGTAGGCATGTTTCTAGAGACTTTAAACCTATCAGAATCGATAAACCTGCTGATTCTGAAAAATCAGCACGGCCATCAGGAGATTCCGAAGGCGTCTACTTCCTGTTCGATCCAGAGATGCAGAACTTGAGGCAAACAGATAGAAACCGCCTACAAACTACTCCGCAGATCGATCGGCCAGAGCAGATATTCGATAAAAATTGGAAAATCGCTACACTGCATCGGCTTAAAAAACATCTCTGATGGATCAATCACTGGAAAGCCGAGGTCATTTTCCCTAATTCTAACGAAAACGGTTCAGTCACAAAACAAGACAAAACAACTGTGCCGAAGTTACACAAGTGCATGGTTTGCGGGACAGTTCGCATGCAAAAATATTTATTAATACGCACAACATTCAAATTTTAGAAAATGTAAGGCGTAAAGAGGATTTTAAACTGAAATCACTCAGATCACTTGAATGGACTGTAACTGGGGATGACTCGCTGTGACCGCAATACGCACGCCATTACTCGTAGTTTCGAGCCTTCTCCTTTCAAGCTCGGTCTTCCGGACTCCTGGTATAATCTCATCACCGTCGTAGTGGGCGACCAGGAGGTCGAGTCCGCCGCCCGACAGGTTGTGCTGAACTATTCACCGCTGATGTTAATTCCACC